AGGTATTTTCAAGATAATGGATTTGAAAAATATCTATATAAACACGTAATTTATGTGAAGAAAGAAGCATATGGCAGCATACTATTTGCGTGCCTATATATTGATGACTTGATTTTCACCAGCAACAAACCTACCATGTTTGAAGACTTCAAGAAGAGCATGGTACAAGAGTTTGAGATGATAGATATTGGTCTGATGACACATTTTCTTGGCTTAGCAATGGTGTAGAAAGAAGAAGGGATTTTTGTATCCCAAAGTAGTTACACCAAAGATATTTTTGAAAGGTTTAAGATGGAAAACTGCAATCCGGTATCAACTCCAGTTGACAATGGAGTGGAATTGAAAATGAGTAAAGTTGAAAATGTTGATCCAATTTACTTCAAAAGCTTAGTAGGAAGCTTAAGGTACTTGACATGTACCAGATCAGATATACTCTACTAAGTTGGATTGATCAGCAGATATATGGAGACACCAAACCAGTCTCACTTGAATGCAGCCAAAAGAATTCTTCGTTACATCAAAGACACAATAAATGAAGGTATGTTTTATACCTCAAGCAAAAACTTCAATCTTGTTGGCTACTAGAATAGTGATTGGGGTAGAGATCTGGATGAAAGGAAAAGCACAACAGGGTTTGTCTTTTTCATGGGAGATACATCTTTCACATGGTCATCCAAGAAGCAATTGATAGTAACATTATCAAGCTGATAAGTTGAGTATGTTGCTGCTAACTCAACAGTATGCCATTTAATATGGTTAAGGAATATGCTGAAGTATTTGGGATTTCCTGAAGAATATCTTATAGAGATTTATATCGATAATTGATCAGCGATTGCATTGGCAAAGAACCCAGTGTATCATGAAAGAAGTAAACACATTGATACACGTCATCACTTTATCCGAGAGCATGTAAAGAACAAAGAAGTTGAGCTGATATCCTGCAAGACAGACGATCAAGTTGCAGATATCTTTACAAAGCCATTGAAGAGAGAAATATTTATCAGATTGAAGTTCATGCTTGGAATAACATCTCTCAATTGAGTTTAAAGGGGAGATTTGTTGAATTAAACTCAATCTAGAAGATCAAGGAAGGCAACCACCCAGCACCACTTGCAGCCACCAGCTGTCATCGCCAGTCGCATTCACACCGTCGGCCATAAATGCCTTCACATTTGAAGGTTGAATTTTCTTGTTTTGAATTCGTGTATAAATATGCAGCTAAGTTTATGCAATTATATGTGGAGAAATTTGAGAGAAACACAAAGAGAAAGAGAGAAAGAGAGAGGGTGTGCATTGAAGCTTTTGTTTTAATTATTGTAAGCTTTTGTTCTTGAAATAAAGAGTGTGTTTTATCCCCTTTAAGTGTTTCAAAGCCATCACCAGTGGTTTCTTCCACCAACAATTTCTTCTTCTTCATAGATGGCTACTTCTATGATTGGTTGTCTTCCAACGTTAAGAGAAACTAGGGAGAGAGATTTTGTTTGGGTTTGTTGGTTGATGCTAAGGTTGATGGGTTGGTGTAGCTGAAACAAAGTGGCTTTGCTGTTGTGAATGAAGATAAAATGGTGGTAGACATTGTTGATGTAGTTGTTGTCGATGTTATTTGTGGGAAAAAAGACTATCAGCTGAACGCTGGATTTGTGTTGTTTTCTTGTTGTTGCTGGTTGCTTGAAAAGAGAAGAAAAAATGTCACAGCTGCCTTTGTAGGTTATGGAGGAGCTTTTGGGCTGCTGCTTTATTGACATAAAGGGGTAGGATAGTCTTGAGTTTTGGTTGCCGGTTACTAAAATCATGGTTAGCAATGTTTTTTAAAGTATATTAAAATAATATTTTTTAATTTTTAAAAATTATTTTTAATATTAGTATGTTAAAATAATTTAAAAATATTAATTTAAAATTAAAAAATAATAAAAATTTAAATTTTTTTAAGAATATTTTTTAAAATATAAAAATAAATCGCCCAAAATACAAGGCAATCTTCTATAATTGATAAAAATGAAAGAGCTTATCTATTGCGGACAATGGACGATAATATGGTGGTTTATGTTTTGGTGTTTAATGTGATGAAGGGATGATTTTCTTTTGTTTTTTTGGGAAAGCAGGAGTGTACTTTGCTTTGCTTTTTTTTATTTTTTGGGAAAAGTAGGGTGCGGGTCACATTTTGTTCTGAACGAACAGGTTTGATAACAGTGAAACGTGTTTGTAACATTGCATTGTGTTTTTTCAAACTTTATAAATTTTTTATTTTATTTTTATTTAAAATAATTTTTTTATATTTTTATATCATTTTAATATATTAATTTTAAAAATAACTTTTTAATAATAAAAAATATTTTAAATTACCACCACTATTATAATTCAAAACAAAATATTTACCACTACCACAATCATTTCTAGAAAAATGACGTTAAGTAAAGAAAACATCGAAACAAATCAAAATTTAAAGCCACCATAAAAGGAAAGGAAAAACAAATATTGTATTAGACAGCACCACCTTAAAACAGTAAAAGAAGAGATCTTTTAGCTTCCCTGCCTTTCAGAATTTTACAGAGAGAGAGGAGAGCAAAAGAAATGTGGGAATCGATCTGTTTAACGTTGGCAGCCACCGCCGGTAATAACATCGGCAAAGTTCTTCAAAAGAAGGGCACTCTCATTCTGCCTCCCCTCTCTTTCAAACTAAAGGCATGCATCTTTTACCCACTTTCTTTTTCTTTCTTTTCTCTGCCTCCTTTGGTTTTCTTTTTGTTTCATTTTATCACTTTTGTATTGCTCAACAATTTAACAACCAATACAATATATTATTTATTTTTTAATTTTCAAGATCGTGGAAAGAATTCAAGCCCTGAATTTAGCATTCTGTTATTGTTCAAGATCGTGGAAAGAATTCAAGCCCTGAATTTAGAATTCTGTTATTGTTTCAATTTCAAGAATTGATCTTTATGCTAACAAGTGCTTGCATGTTGCTTTGATTCTTGATTTCCATTGTCAATCTTTCGGTTTTTGATTCTGGGTTTATGGGATTTCTCTCAATTCTCTGCTTATTAGAATCCGTGCAACCGAACTATGCATGTGAAGGAAGTGGGTTGTTGCGTATATTTATTGATTTTATGTAACTTCTCAGGTGATAAGGGCATATGCTGCTAATAAAGCTTGGATCATTGGTTTTCTTATCGATATATGTGGTGCATTGTTGATGTTGAGAGCATTATCTCAAGCTCCTGTGAGTGAATTCATTTGTGTTCCCGATTTCTTTTTGATTATTGTGCTTGATTGCAAATTTTTTTTTTGGAAAAGAAAATAGTAGGTTGACATTTTTGAACAATATAAACTTTGAGACTGCATTTTCAACATATGCATGCAAAGAAAAAGAGAGACTGAGAGTCTCCTTTTTGACAATGATCTGAAGAATTCGTTTGCTCTCTTCTTCTACCGAACTCAAGTAAAAAATGAGCTCTTTTATTTGTTTGTGAGCTTCTATTTGGTTAGTGCAATTTATTTTGTGTCATTTGTGTACTCTTCATCAAAGTGATCTTGACTGTTTCTGTCAGGTATCTGTCATCCAACCAGTTTCTGGTTGTGGACTTGCTATTCTTTCTGTCTTTTCCCATTTTTACCTAAAGGAAGTCATGAATGTCATTGATTGGATAGGAATCACGTTGGCTGGTATTGGTACAATAGGTATGTAAATTCTTCTTGGTTGCTTCATGGATTGATTTTGATCTCATTGTTGTGCTCATATTTCAGAATGTTGACATGATATTTATGGCTCAAAAGTAAGAGTGTATTATTACATTTTTGTTTTTAACTATGCTGTGCATTCCTTCTGTGGATGAATATATATTTCAAAAAGGTGTCTCATTGGGAATAGGTCTTACCTTGAACCCTTGTTTTTCATTATCCGATAAGTATAAAGTTTGTTGTATTGAGCTAAACTATTGACATAAAAATATATTAATTGGTTATGAAAATTCAATTCTCCAAAACTGTTTGATATCCATAAATATACTTTGTGATCCAACATCTTATTTATGTGGCAAACTAAGCCGTGCTGTTTGTTTTGTATTTGCAGGAGTTGGTGCTGGAGGTGAGGAGCAAGAGGCATCTTCTGTATCTATTTTTCAGTTGCCTTGGCTGGCGTTCCTTGTTGCCCTCTTGTTTGTAGGTACCTTATTCTGTGCACCAACTTTATTAGCATTAATATGCCATTGTTGTATTATTGTGTAGACATATATGAGTATGCAAAGTTGAGAGATAAGAAAACTTTTCTTTATCTTTTAGAATCTAAGCTAGTTTAAAATCTATGAAAAGATGGCATGGACCACACCCCGAAAAATTTCTCTCAAAGAGTACCCATGGCCTATGTCTACTCATAAACTTACTATTCTATATCTCCAATCCTCACCTGTAACACACATAGCATATACTCATCCATCATATAGACAGAGTACTTAGATATGAAACACACACAAACAAGCCAAAGGTCCTTCTTTGTACTAGTGTTTGTCAAGACTTATGGTCACTTCTTAATGTTGATTTCTGAGGCACCACTGGATGTGAATATTTTGTACAGTTCTTAGTGAAAGGGGTGTCTCTTTGAAGTAGTTCATTTTCAGCTTCATGGTTGGTTGTGTATGCTAGCATGGCTTAGTCTAGAGAACCGCTTATAGTTGAAGTTGGTTTTGATTATCAACACTTTCCCTTGACATTGACTCAGTTCTTGCACTAATGGAAATCGAAACTCTGCAAAGTTTGGTATGGTTGTGGCCTTCTGTGAACTTATCAGTTCCTTTAATGGTACATGAGTGTGATCTCCACCATGCTGAATGTTGGTCCCTTACTAGCAAAGTCTGCACTAATTAAATCTTCCATAATGCCCAATACTTATTTGTCAACTCCAGAAGTGTTCCTTTTCCACTTGCTCCGATACCACTTTCTCATACTAAAATAATTTTGGCATCCAAAATTTGAAAGATCTCCAACTTTTTGATTATGCAATCTCATTATGTTGTACAATCAGTCAACACTTGTTTTGGTAGATGATTATTTCATGAAAGAATGGAGCATGTGGAACTAAATTTTCATTTTGTAAAAGCGAAGTTTACTAGGAAAGTCAAGAGTTGCAACAAATTTGTCATGGAAGTCCAAGTGGCTGAAATTTTTACCAGATGCTTTAGTAACAATTTGCAGAAGTCCTAATTGTGACATGGTATGCCAGAAAGAGTGTCATTGTTGGCCTAATTGTGACATGGTATGCCAAAAAGAGTGTCATTGTTGGGAGGGGGAGTGTTGATATGGTTCGGCCATGGATTTCTCATGATGGGTCTTCAATTTTGCGCTTGGGTTTGATGGGGAGGCCATTCGGCCAATGTTGTGTTTTTCCTTGGAATTTAGCTTGTATTCCATTCAACCACGATGGGTGGGTTTTTGGGATGGGATAGTTTTAGCCAGCCTTGTTTTGTGCATGATGATGAGTTCGGTCCCATTTATTTGATGGTTCATTCGTCCAAATCAGGTCAGCCCATGTATGGGTCTGATTTGGGCAGCAATGTAGGCTTGGTGGGAGCTTGTATCAGGTTTGATTTGGGTTAATATTAATGAGTATGGGTTTGGGTCATATGAGGTCCAAAGTTATCTTGGGCTAATTTAGATGTTGAGGTCCTTTTCTTGTAAGGATCAACAAAATATTCTCTTAAAATTGAAAGGGAAATTATTTCATTATTGTCCTATTATTTAGGAGAATATTTAGCAACAAAGAAGGAAGCTTCATAGTCATGCAAGGAAACTAAATGGGCTGTCAGATCTGAATCCTAGACTTGGAAGGATTCCTTAATGCTAAAGATTTGATTCTCCTAATTAAGAAAGGAAAATGATGGGCGACTACAAGGGGGATTAATTTCTAAGATTGTTTTCCATGTTATGAAGAAAAATCCTAGTCCTACAAGGAAAGAAGACTTCAACAATTAAATTCCTATTCATATAAGGTTTTCTAGGACCTAAATGACTTTAAAAGTTGGCTAAGCGATCCTAGAGTATCTAGGAAGGTGGATATCGGCCAAGGGTTATTTAAGCTAGAGAATCAAGATATTTTGTTTTGTTTTTCTTTCTATTATATGCATCATCAACAAGCTACTATCCAGACTTGTTGTTTCCAATATTATTTCTATGTTTGAGCTTAATTAATAGTTTGGATTTTAGCTAAGATTCAAGACTTGTTTGGATTAGGGTTTGAGCTTGCTAGTAAAGGTTTTGGGTCATTTTTTGTAAGTAGGTCAATTCAGTCCATAAGGGTAGTTTCATTAGGGTTAATTTATTGGAACTATTTAAACACGTGTTAAGCCTAAGTTTCAACTTCTTTGATGAATAATACTTCTGAACTTTTTAATTTTAATTCGAGAAATTCTTGCATTCTTTGGTTTTTGAACGAATTGAATTTGACTTATTGAAGATTAATTGGCGTCATGCGACTTTATTCCAATAGTGTTGGTGTCTTTGGACATGTTTTCATTACGTCACACTTCTATCAGACCTTTTTTAGTTTTTTGGGATAAGATCTCAATTTTGATTGTGGGTTGCATAATTACGTGATCACGAGATTCGCTTTACATGTCAAGAGTCAATAACTGACTCCATAATCGAAGAAGCAAACCTGAATTTGCTATCTAAATCGAGCCTTCAGCCAGCCAAGCAACTGAAAGTTTATCCAACCAAGTCGCATCTTTGACTAAGGCATTGACCAATTGCTTCATAGCTAGAACCAATACTAGAAAGGTTGCATTTGCATTTCACTGAAAGAAGTATAAATAGGTCACCTGGCTTCTTTTTGGTAGATTGCTCCATTTATGCAGTAAGATGAATTCTGTATTATTTTTGTATAATAGGCAGCAAGAGTATAGAAAAGCGTAGTGAGCCTATGAGCATTTTGTTTGTGGTTTTAGCACAATGCTCTAATATAATAGTAGTGTTTGGTTTCATGTCTTAACTCTGTGCACTTCTCGACTACAAATACATCTAAATTTCTCCTTTCTAACTTCTAGCGGGGACTATAACTTGATTGCTGCCATTTATAGTTTTTTGGTGCTTCATTTATGTTCTCTCATTGTGCAATTTTTCTAGTTGGGATTCAGTTCATCAAATATTTTATGGACATCTGCATGTTTGGAGGGAGTGACAATGTGATGATTACTCAGTATGGTTTGATATGTGCAACTAAATATGATTTTTTTAAAATAGGTAGTCCTCAACGCATGGCTTCGGGTATACAGACATCAAAGAAGAGCACATGAAATGGTAAAATTTTCTTTGTTTATCTTGCTGGTTTGTAAGGTATTTTTGTTTCTGATTTTTGATTCCTCTACCATCCCCCTTTCCCTCATTGTTCTGCTTTCTGTTGAAAACTGTTTTCAATGCAGATGGACTATGAAGTTGTTGAAGAAATTATATATGGTTTGGAATCTGGCATTTTGTTTGGGTATGATTCCTGGTACACCGTCTTTGTTCATAAATTTGTATCTTTTCAGTGTTGCCTCTATTTTTATAACAGTGATTTGTGTTCAGCAAATTGAAAATTATCAGAACTTTGATGTGCCAGTTTCCATAAATAATGTTGTCAGACATAGATTACATCATTGAATGTGCAGAAGTTCATTTTAGATGGATGCATTTGTTATGCCTGAAGGCTTCACCTACCAGTGTTATCATTTTAGTGTGTCATTGTCATTTAATCAGAATAGTAACAGTTGCTGCAAAATCAATATATCATTTTATATGCATGAATTGACAGTTTATTTCTTTCAAGAAACTGTTCCTTGATGAATATGCTTAAAATATTATTTCTTAAAGTGCCATTAAATTTATACTGAAATTAAGTACTGTTCCTGACATAAAAAAGAGTTGTGAACTGCTGCTGTTATTCAGCTAGGCTTCAGGTCCTAAATGCTGAGTTGCACATCATATGCAGGATGGCTTCTGTGCTATCAAAGATGGGATTTGTCTTCCTGGAGCAGGGTTTCTCCAGGATGCTAGTCCCTATATGTGTCTCCATCAGTATATGCTGTAGTGCAACAGGATTTTATTACCAGGTATTTTCAAATCAGCATCTAGATGTTCTCTCTAGGGCTCCATCTGATCTATTTTGAGCTTTTCTCCGCATAAAATTTGTTTTTCATATTTTGACCTTTTCATATTTGTATGGGATTTCTGCTTGCCTCTCACTCATCTTAGAACAGGAAAAACAAGATTTCATTTCTCACATGCATGCACATGTCTTATTGATTTTCCAATTGGTTTTGCTTTGAGTGGAGCCAGATCCACTTTGCTCTTCCTGTTGAAGCTATCTGATAGTGTAGAAAAAGTTGACAGGTCAAACTGATATACGATTTCCTTCTGAATAGACTCAGGGTCTAAAGCATGGAAGGGCAATTGTGGTGTCTACATGCGCTGCCGTGGCATCAATAGTGACTGGTGTACTTGCTGGAATGCTTGCATTAGGAGAACAGTTGCCTTCAGCACCCACTGCTCGTTTTTCACTTCTACTTGGATGGTAAGCAAAGTTCTTATTTAAACCATTGCCCTTCTAATTGCTCATGCTTGATGCACCAAGTCATGGTTTCTTGAAAGCAATATAATTTGATGCTATACCACAGTGAAGGTGACCTATTCGAGAGATTGCATGTGGAAACCATCTATTTTAGACAATTTTGCAGACATCTGATTTAGAAACTTTGATTTACATGTTATTGAAATTTCTCCTTCAAGCATAAAATGATTGTTAAAAACTCAAAGGTAGTGTTCAATTCTGTGTTAGTATCTTAGCTGAACTGTGTACAATATTAAAGTATCCTTCAAGGGCTTGTTTTGTAGAATTTGTACGTTTAGAAAACCTACACATACAGCGAACGTGCTTTTAGGGATCCCAGCTAGGAAATCTGAGATATTGTCTTATTGCTATCAATATACTCTTTCATTGATGTTTTCTGTATTGCAGGCTGTTTATCGTAGCAGGTGTGATTTTACTTGTTAGTTCAACTTGGCTCCTGCGGCGTCTTCCATTGCATCGCATCATACGAATTAATGTTGATCGAAATTTCAGTCTAAGTCGATCAGGATCTCTCCGACTTAAGGATTCAAACCCAACTGCTGTTATCCATGCAGCAACATTGCATCATTTGATATCATCTCCGTCCAAGGAGAAGGCTTGAACAAAAACAATGCTTGCTAGTTTTTTAACAATGCCAGTTTTTGGTCAACATACTTGTGCAGTCCTTAAGTGTTCCTTAAGTGTTTATTCATGCCTGCTCTTGTTGCGGGTGGGGGTGTACATATGATCTGATTATTGCATTTTTTTTTTCTTTTTTTCTTTTTTGAAGGCATGAGATTTTTTTAATCATTTTGCATAAACAAAAATTTTCTACCCATCAAAATTTATCATATGTGTTATTGTTATTTTATTTTTACATCAAAGATGAAATAAATGAAATGAAAAATAAATAGGTTTTTTGTATTTTTTTTTAATTTTTGCCAATGAAAAGTTACATGAGATGAGATATAAATATCTCAAATAAAATTAACCAATAAAATAATATTATATAGTATTAAAAAATGATTGAGTTTTTACAAGTTTGTATAAATAGATCTTTTAGATAAAAGGAAAAGAAAAAAAAATAAATAGTGTTGGGTTATGCGAACCTCGTGATCATGTGGTCAAGCAACCTATAATCACTATAATCAATATTGAGATTTGATCTTGGAAAGCTGAAATAGATCTGATAGAAGTGTGACATAATGGAAATCTGCCCCAAGGCACCAACACTATTGGATTGAGTAGAATGATGTGACGAAACTAGTTAATCTTTGATAAGTCAGATTCAGTTCGTTTAAGAACTGAAGAATGCAAGAATTACTCTCACATGTTAAAACTGAAAAAAAAATCAGAAGTAATTATCATCCAAAAGCTGCTGAAATTTTGGCTTACATGAGTTTAAATAGTTCTTGAAAAGTTAACCCTAATGGACTCTTTATGTTGACTTAAATGAGATTCACTAAAACTGACTCAAAACCCTAAACCGAAAAGCCGATAACTTAATCCAAACAAGCCTTGGATTCTAACTAAAAACAAAGTATTAATTAAGCCCAAACAAGCCTTGGGTTGTAACTAACAAAATAAAACAAAGCCCATAATATTAAATCCATGTTCTGTCATGAGAAGAAGAGAAGGAAGTAAAATATTATATAACTGATTCAAGGCTTATTTATAGCGTTCCATGTAGCCTCTTAATCCTAGAAACAAAAGGAAAAGTAGTCACCCATGTTGTTTCCAAGTTGTAGAAAGATTCTTTTGTTTCCTTTGTTGTCCTCACCTCATGGCCCAAATGAGGTTGTGTTGGACTCCTTTTGCACATGGATAAGATGTACTAGGATCTCCTCTTGATACTCTAATGGACCTTTCAATTCTGACTTGGTTGAAACATTCAAAACCAATGCATTCAATGCCTTTGTCTTGGACCGAGTCATTGGACCATTTGAAACATCTAATGGGTCCTTGCTAGTGTTTTTGGGCTGGTCCACATCATCCCCTCTCTCCTCGAAAGGATTCGACCTCGAATCAAAATCTATGTCAAACAACGTAAGATCAGCAATATTAAAAGTAGCACTAACACCATATTCACCTGGAAGGTCAATTTTGTATGCGTTGTCATTGATTCTCTCTAAAACCTGAAATGGACCATCACTATGAGGCTATAATTTTGATTTCCTTTGGTTAGGAAATCGTTCCTTATGCATGTGCCCCTAAACCCAATCATCGGGCTGGAAAATAACAAATTTTATGTCCCTTATTTGCTTTAGAAGCGTAAAGTCTATTCTTTTTCTCTATTTGTAGTCGAACTCCCTCATGGAGTTGTCTCACCATCTTTACCTTCTTTTCACCATCTAAACTTACTTTTTCTTCAAAAGGCAAAGGAATTAAGTCCAAAGTAGTTAGTGGATTAAAACCATAAACAATTTCAAATAGAGAAAAACCAGTGGTCGAATGCACAGTTCTATTATAAGCAAACTCAACAAAAGGCAAACATTCTTCTTAACTCTTTAAATTCTTTTAAATTATAGCACGCAAAAGTTGGGATAATGTTCTATTCACTACCTCAGTTTATCCATCTGTTTGAGGATGATATGTTGTCGAAAATAAGAGTTTAGTTCCCAACTTTTCCCATAATTTCTTGCCAGACATTCGTTTCTTCTTTGGGTGGCTGTCCAACAGAAACTCACAACTCAAGATAGACTTCATCGATTTGGTATACATGGTCCCAATAGATGCTCACTCTGTCTCCGCAACAACGAAGATCACAACCACTTGTTCTTTGAATGCTCCTATACTAAAGCGATCTGGTGGGATGTTTGTGACAGATGCAACATTCCAAGAATGACAAAAGGATGGGATGAATGGATTCGATGGGCCACTGTCACTTGGCATGGTAAAGGTTTCGTCAATTTTTCTCGTAAACTCAGTTTTGCAGCTACAGTGTATCATATCTGGCAAGAAAGGAATGCAAGGACCTTTGCTGGAATATCGAGAACTCAGAATTTGGTCTTTCATCAAATCGAATGTATCATCCGTGATAAGCTTGATTTGATGAGGAACGTCCTACCAACAGAAGAAAATAAAAGGATCCAACGAGCTTGGAGGGTCAATAACATAGATTCTTCATTTGATATTTAGCTGGTTGTATTGGTTTCCCTAACTAATCAAGTTAGGTCTTGAGTTTTCTGTTCGGTGGCTAGCCTGTAGCCATCTGTTGTTTTACATTTCTGTTCTCATTGTAAATCTGGGGTATGCCCCTTATAATCTTTGTATCGTTTTCCTTTAATATATACGTTAACTTACCAAAAAAAAAAATACATCTATGGATGGAATTAGAAAGGCAGAATTGATGAGGTCTTCCAAAAGTAGCTAACAAACTTAGCATCACGATCTGACACTATACTCTTAGCAATGCCATGCAAACGTACAGTCTCCCTAAAAATCAAGTTTGCGATATGAGATGCATCATCTGTTTTATTGCATGTAATGAAATGCGCAATTTTAGAAAACCTAATAGCAAACGCAATCAAAACCTGCTTAGTAACCCTCACTTCACCACATTCATTCAACCATTGCATAGAGTCTCTACCTGGATGCTTAATACAACTCAGATTCAATTTCTTCACAAGTGTATCACTAGCAACATTAGCACAACTACCTCCATCAATTATCATGCTACATACCTTGTTTTGGATGTGACATCGAGTGTGAAATATATTTTCCCATTGCTGATCTACATCATCTTCTTTGATTTGCATGTTCAGCGCACGTCTTATAACCAAAGCCTCCCCCTCAACAGGGTATGCAATCTCCTCATCGCTACAATCCATCAAAGGTGGCATCTCTTCACTTTCAGATTTCTCACTTTCAGATTCAACATCCCCATTATCTCTTATAAGCATAACTCTTCGGTTTGGACACTGAGATGCAATGTGCCCCTTCCCTAAACATTTAAAGCATTTAATATCTCTATCACGAGTAGGTTGAGATTCAGATTTACCTTTTCCATCCGTATAAGTATCCTTTTTGGCCTTAGGTGGTTCAGCCTTTGCATAAGGCTTTAGTTGGACAGCCCCCTCTCTTTTTAAATTCAGCCTCCATGTTGAGGAAGATGAAGCCGAATTGGTCTGAAAACGTGTACTGCCCCTTCTCTTTATTTGTCTCTCTACCTTCGTTGCCATATGGACCATGTCTTCCAATTCCACACAGTGTTGTAATTCTACAACATTTGCAATGTCCCTATTCAGTCCATTTAGAAACCTAGCCATAGTAGCTTCCCGATCCTCAATCACGTTGGCTCGAATCATGGCAATCTCCATTTCCTTGAAATACTCATCCACGGACCTAGAACCCTGATTCAAACCCTGCAATTTCAGATACAAATCTCTATAATAGTGGTTAGGCACAAATTGCCTTCTCATCAACACTTTCATCTCCTCCCACGACGCTACCGGCCTCTCTCCACTCCGTCTTCTACTAGTAACATTCTGATCCCACCAAATCAGTGCATAATCCATGAATTCGATGACTACCAATTTCACTTTCTTCGCCTCCGAATAGTTATGGCAATCAAAAATCCAATCCACCTCCTTTTCCCACTCCAAATATGCCTCGGGATCGTTTTTACCTTGAAAAGAAGGTATTTTTAGTTTGATAGCATCCAAATCACCATCTAAATCAACATGTCCCCCAACACTACGGAAATTTTCCCTTTGGCCGAATTGGCCCCTAGTTCTATTCCCATAATCCCTTCGGTTTCTAGGCTGCCGAAAACCTTCCCGGTAGTCTATGGCCTCATCATCAAAAACACCATCACCGATATCACCAACGGCCTCCTCAAAATCCTCACAATCAGCCCACCTTGTTGGCCTGTTGGCCCTACTGCTATTGTTTGCTTTCGGTTCCACCCCAAGCTTCACATTTTGGGTGCTCGTACCAGCCTCGTTACCACGTTTCTCCACCCTATCAAGTCTGTCGCACACATTTCCCATCACAAAATTCATCCTCTCCATCATTTGTGTCATGGCTTGCATTTGAAATGTAAGTTCTCCCTCGGGATGGGGCGGTGTATTGTTTTGATCTGACATGATAGTACCTGCAAAAAGTTGTTAGTGGTAAAAGAAAATTTATCCTCACGTCACTCGTGTTTCGCTCAAACACTCTTAATATCCTCACACGCTCACACCTCTCGTCTCACCTTCTTGCGGTTCTTGCGAAACTGAAACCAACATCAAATAGAACCAACTTGGCAGCGCTATCCAAATATATATATGACTCAAGAAGCAATGAAAAAACTAGAAAACAAGCAAAACAAAACTGCGATGATAGTCTCGTGAGTAGCAAGCGAGTCTATCCGAAATATGAACGAAACTGAAGACGCGAATAAAAACAGAAACAAAAAATATGCAAAATCATTAAACAACACCCAAATATGTTGGATATGATGAAAATAAACTGCAAGAAACGAAATCAACAAAAAGCAAGCGAATTTTGAAACGGTGACGCAAGACAGACTTGTTTACGACAAGTTAAGTCCGAATCTGGAACGTAAAGTAAATAATGTTCAATTGAGTTAAAATTTCAGATATAGTGCGATATCAACCCAAATAGACAGAATATAAGGTTTGAGCAATTTATGACAACGTTTGATATACTGACGTAAAAACGTTATGAATCAGACCTGAATAGACCCGAATTTGAAACCCAAAGCAAATGATATCCAATTGACCCCAAATTTGATATGTAATTCGATTAGGACCCCAGTTATTCTAATATCACATTTGAGCTAATTCCGAGTTGATTTGATCCAATTAT